TATACAACAATCTCTTCCATCCCAGAAATAAAAACATACTTTAGCAATGTGTTCAAAATTATAATTTCTGCCACCAGTTCAGCTTCAAGTTTAACAAATATTTTGTTAAGCTTCTGTGCAAAGCTCATATGCAACACTTAACTGCAAAGCACTAGATTCTGTGCAGATTAAAAAAGAAAAATGAAAGCAGCAAAATAGGATCCCTGTGCTAAGGAGGAATCAGTTTAGTGTAGAAGATGTGGCATTTCCACTTTCAGTCATTTGATTACTCAAATAATTAGAGACATTGGCTCTGAATTCTCGCCATTGGAGAGGACTTCAAGGTCCAGCTATTTCTTCTCTTCTTGGTTTGTATTATGACAAAGTGAGTTCATTAGTTGGCAGTGGCCATGGAGAGAAGCAGCAGATACACTGCTGTAGTATTAAAAGCAGGAAGGAAAAGCTATGGAGGCATGAAAGGAAGAACTGAAGTTCCCTGCTCCTTTATTTGGAAACCCTGGTGGCATAGTGGTTGAGTGCTACAGCTGCTAACCAAAAGGTCGGCAGTTCAAATCCACCAGGCACTCCTTGGAAACCCTATGGGGCAGTTCTACTCCATCCTATAGGGTCACTATGAGTTGGAATCAACTCAAAAGGCAGAGGGCTCCTTTATTTAAAGGAGCCCTGGTAACGCAGTGGTTAAAGCAATGAACTGCTAACAGTAAAGCTTGGCTGTTGGAAACTACCAGTGGCTCCAGGGTTGCAGTCAGCTTCCATAGAGATTTACAGCCTTGGAAATCCTATGGGGTGACTATCAGTCAGAATCAACTCAACAGCAGTGGGTTTTGGGTTCCTTTATCTGAAGTATTGTTTTTAGATCATGTATGGCTGATGGTGCTCAAATCTGCCCTCACTAAGATGTGATTAAATAGTTGGCTATCTTAGTCCAACCAGACTCCTAAGTTATTGTTATTGTAATTAGCATATCTGCTATAGGTCGTGGCATCTTGGTGGGAGAGTTTATTAGCAGGAAGGAGAGAGAGAAGCCAAGGACCTTCTACTTGGGTACGTTTTCTCTGCTCATTAGCAGGCACCAGGTGAACTGAAAGTCAATTTTGCTACTTGTTAGCAGCTCTGGTAGGAGGAAATTTAGAAAAGGAAAAAAATAATCCTCTGGGGAGGAAATGGTAAAGTCAGATTTTGTTCTTCCTGCTGGATTTCTATAATCGTTGCTCTCCTTACCACTAATCATCATGGAAAATTCCAAGTTCTTTGTAGAGGAGTTCACTCTATTGCCTTTTATTCTACCTTTGCCTTTCCCGTTCCTCCTTGTCCTAATTAAGCAGCCCATGAAATCTGGGCTCTAGGTACCACAGCAGTCAGGAGTCCAATGGACAATGACAGAGTTATGTGGAGATCCTTTACCCATGCCATGCACCCAACCTACCACAAACCACCTTTTAGGAAAAGAGGTTTGGGATCAAAATGAAAATTTAGCATTTGTATAAAATAAACCTGAGCTCCAAGTCAGAGTTCAAACATAGTCCTTTCTGCTACTGTTGCTTCCAACATGAACAAGCATCAATAACTATGATGACCCTTACGACTTTATTAAAGGGAATTATGACTTCATTAAAGGGAATTTAAAAGCAAGATCATCAGGGCCCAAAATGTTTGAATACTTTCTAGAATATTCCAGAATAATCTACTTTTGATTAAGCACCAATTGAGTGTGTAGTCAGGTGACTAAAATGTGATGCACAAACCCAAATATAGATCATTTTATAATGTCAAGAGTTTTTTGGAGTTGAAAAAAATCAATTCACGGAAAAAAAAATACAGAAGCTTGGTTTCCTAGGTCAGATAATGCATTCTGCCTCTAGAGTAACGATTCACAGTTACATTAACACTAAGAATAATAGATCTTATAGAGGTAACCATGATCTTGGTAGATCCTTCTTTCTAGGTTAATGTTTCTCCATAAAAACCACCCCTTTTTCAGCATATGCAACAGATATGAATTGGTTAACAATGCATATTGGGGGTAAAAAGGACACATTTTTCTCCCTATAGACCATTAATCTATTCAGCCTTCACATATGCTTCTCAACTCTTCATGTTCCTACAGAAAATTAATAAATCAAGCCCTCTCTCTGTGTGTATTTGTCTGCCTATCTCCCCCCTCCCTCTCTTCTTCTCTCCCTCTAACACACACTTACATCCTCATACACAGCTCAGGGCACTCTCCCTCCTCACTCCACTATAACGACTCTGAACTTACTGTTTCTGATTAAAATATATGTATATGTCGAATTTAGGATGGGCAAATACAAGATTTTTTGATGAAAAAATAATTTCAAAGTGAAGGTGGTCATGAGACTCCCTGAAAAATAACATTTTCTACATGTCCAGTCAATTGGTTTCACTCCTATCAAATAAAAATGCTTGCACAAATTTCCCCAAATTTTGAAGTTGTATCTAGATTGTGAAATCTGCTAATATTCTTGAGAAAACTAAGGCTGTTAGTCTTCAGCAGTAATAGCACACTATTTGCTCCGTAACATATAAGAAATGTATGTAGCAACAGGAATCAATGGTGGAACAGCACTACACAGTCATTCCACGCTGCTGTTCCTGGGGGCACAGACCATTTAACCAACACAGTCAACGACTTAATCAATTGCACTTTTTTTCTGATATCCTAGACAAAAACAAAAATCCTAGCTAGTTCAGTCAACACAGCCAAAAAATAGCAATAAAAATTCACCGTAACTGGAAAACGCCAAGCGCTTCCTAGTTATAATGCATTACTGAACTCAGTACTTCCCAAGATTAGCCTTTTGGGGTGCTAACAACATCAGAATGCCACAAACGTGATAGAGAATAAAATCTAAGAACAAAGAACTAAATTAGCTCCACGGGAATACACAACTAGTTTTTAAAGGGTAGAGTGTAAATTCTCAAGAAGGGAAAACTCTAAGCATGAGTCACTATTCTATCTGAATCCAATCCCTTAAAGCACACATTTGAGACTGGTCTGCAAAGTAACAGAACGTCAACTGGCAACTCTTTCTGCAGAAAGTTCCAGCAATCCAAAACAATGACCTGGAAAAGTGTTTCCCAAGTGCGTGAGAAGATGTGGGAGAACTCACCAAACAATAACATGAGGAGACAAGCATGTATAATCTGTTCTCCTGGAGTCTCGTGAAGACTTAGGGACAACTTGTACTGTGAGCCTAGATCTAGATTTCTCTAGGAATTCACTTTTCTACCTTCATTAATCCAAAGTTCTCTACAATATTCATATTTGAACACATTCATTTTTCTCCGTTACTGCTTGCTTCTCAAATTGCTCTCTCTCTTTCCTCATTTTCAGATAGAACAAGATTGCCATCCATCATAACAAACTGAGAACCTATCTGCACATGTCAACCCCCAGTCTTGGGATGAAATTGGAGACATTCAGGAATACATTTTTATGGAGACTGGTTCATATGGCTATGAAACTTCCAGGATCAGGGATCAGCAAACCAGAGCAAAGGGATAAAAGAGAACGTGTGGTCTTCCATTATTGCTGTCATAGGTAGTCATCCTTGAGGTCACAATTCCGTCTACGGGCACTAGTATCTCCAACGACAGAATGTAAGTAAATCCATATCGTTACAATGACCCCATGAAAAACACCCAGTTGTCCAGGGTCTTCTGGCCCACTCTTCTTTCCATCATAGCCCTGGTATAAACTCCAGGTTTGAGACCTATGACTTCAGAGGGCCTGCTCATACCTTCCAGTTCCTTACCCTCCTCCATGCTCTTTAAACAGTAATATCCTAGTCAATTAACTAGATCCTAGAGACCTAAACAGATACTTTAAAAGATAGTTTGTTTCCAATAATGAAAGTAGCTCAACCGCATATACAAGACTAAATGGGCCCACCAGCCTGGGAGCAAGGACAAGAAGGCAGGAGGAGGCAGGACAGCTGGATGAATGGAAATAGCAAACCTAAGGTCGAGAAAGAGTGTTGACACATCACGGGGTTGGCAACCAATGTCACAAAACAATATGTGTATTAATTGTTTAATGAGAAACTAATTTGTTCGATAAAGCTTCACTTAAAGCACAATTTAAAAAAAAAAATTTAATACTAGTAAGACAAAAAAAAAAAACAAGATATCTTGTTTCTTCCTCCATGAGTCTGTTAAATATGTAGAAGCCCACTAAAGAAACAAACATCCCACTCTCTACCTTTTTTTCCATATTGCCTTTTTAGACTTTTTTTTCCTAATTGCCCTTCCCATGAGATCTTTTTTTATTTAATTGTGGTAAGTGTGTGTGTGTGTGTGTGTGTGTGTGTGTCCACTTTTCCATTTCAACATCTTTTACATGTACAATTCAGTGACATTCATTATGTTGTGCAACCATCACTGAGATTCTATTAAGGGTGATGGAAAAACTTGAAAACGGAAAGCGGTGATGGCTGCCCATGAGATTTTAAAACCACAGATATACTATGTATCTGCTTATGTATGGCATGTGTATCTGTGGTTCATAGCACAATGAGTAAGATTTTTTCACCCACTAAAAAAAGAATCAATTTTCACTCCCTTGGAGGATATCACCACTGATGGGAACACATGATCTTGCAGCATTCCACAGTTGAAATAATTTTGCCAGAAGTACTTAATTACAGCTTCTCTAATACTTACGGGAAGATAAATCACCAAAAACATCATCCTACCTTTAGATCAGTAATCTGTTTTGAAGAGCAACTAAGTATCACTCAATCTCCTGAGACTCTAAATGCAAATCCTCTTCCTGCAGTGCCTCCAGCTTCTTCCTTCACCTTCCACAAAAAAAGTCTATAGAATTAGCAAGTGTTACCCTCAAGTTAACGTCAACCCCGTCTGTCCTTTCAACCCTGTCTGTCCTTTCTTAACGTATTTTAGTTATATACTAAAACACAAACACAGTCGATCCTTCGCTCCCCCACTCCCCACTCGAGGAACTAGATAAATGTACTCACTTCTTGCCGTTTGAAGTTCTGGACATATTCTTCAAACTGTTCGTCTTTTGTCTCATCAGCTTTCCCAAGCTTCTGAAGGACCTAGTTTGTGAATAAAACAAAATGGTCTGATTTAATGATGTTTTCAAAGGATGGTGTGCCTTTCAGTTTACAGGCAGAGCAAGGTTGGTGTTACTCTTCCAAGAAGACCTCTATCTGAGAACACAGTTAGTTTTGTCCCAGCTTGGAGGCTTTGGAATTGAAAAGACCTAGATTTTAACCACAGTTATACTACTTACCGACTGTGTGATATTGAACAAGTGTCATAACACATGTATGCATTTATTTACATATCCATCTCCTCCATTAGGCTATAGAAGTCTTAAAGGAAGAAACTATGTCTTATTTGTCTTTTTGTCCATACTGTGTGGCACAATACTTGACACATAATAGGTACTCAATTTTTGTTGAGTAGTGAACCAAATTTATTTGACTAAAGTATTAATCTACTTCATAGGAATGCTACTAGAATCACTGGATCCAGGTGCATGGTAAGTACCCCCACCATCACCTTCTGATACTCCCTCCAATTCAGTAAACACTCAAATGGGGTGCACAGGCCCCAAGCTGAGCACAGATCATCCTTGCTTTTCATGTTTCCAGAAATTGCATTGCTTAAAAAAAAATCGCAAAACAAAAAAGTAACTGCCCCTAGATGTAAAGAGATAAAAGAAGTACAATTGGATGACAGCATAGACCCACACTTTTTCCTCTAAGAAAAACAACAGAAGGAGCCACAACTCCCTGGATTATAACAAATCCACATCTGGATGCCAGCTGCCTTTGACGGTAGCAACAACGGATGACGGATGAAGAAATCATAGGACAGAAACAGGCAGAGATCTAGCCTTTGCTAAGAACTTTCTCTATGCCAGTCAGTACATTAGGGGCTTTGCGTCCATTATCTCAGCCAATAATCACAACAGCCTCCTCATCCCTGTTTTTCAGATGAATGAACTGAAACTCAGAGACCAAGCAACCTGCCCAAGATCATTCCCTTCACAAGAAGCAGAACCCAGATTCAAACTCAGCTCTTCATCCCATTCCCCACAATGTCTTCCCTACAGAAATAGTACCACCAAAGGGCTTACCCACCGAATAAAATGGATATCTATTATATGATCCTTTAATATAAATGCTAAGCTTCTCTAGATATTAAATGTTTTACATGGTCATAGGGAGTGGTATCCAAGACAACTGCTAAATTATTTGCATTTATTTCCATATATCCAATCCATCAAAATCCATGGAGATTCTTCTTACTAGTAAACCATTTATGTTAACCTTTCTGTGTCTCTTCTTTACTCCCATGCATTTTGAATCTCTTATCTGAAGTACATCAAGATCTACCTTGTTTAACCATCAGATTCTATTATCACCACCCTCCCTTCTCATCTCCACAATGTTCCAAACTCTTGTTTCTAATGTGTCTCTCTGGACATGTTATTTCCCTCCTTTAAGTCTCACCATGGTTTCCCCCATGTGTCTGTCAGTTTGTCGTACTGTGGGGGCTTGTGTGTTGATGTGACGCTGGAAGCTATGCCACCAGTATTCAGATACCAGCAGACTCACCGACGGTGGATAGGTTTCAGCTGAGCTTCCAGACTAAGACAGACTAGGAAAAATGATCTGGCAGTCTACTTCTGAAAACAATTAGCCAGTGAAAATTTTACGAATATTAGCAAAACATTGCCTGATATAGTGCCAGAAGATGAACCCCCAGGTTGGAAGGCACTCAAAATACAACTGGGGAAGAGCTGCCTCCTCAAAGTAGAGTCAACCTTAACGACATGGATGGAGTCAAGCTTTTGGGACCTTCATTTGTTGACATAGCGTGACTCAAAATGAGAAGAAACAGCTGCAAATATCCACTGATAATTGGAACATGGAATGTAAGAAGTATGAATCTAGGAAAACTGGAAATCATCAAAAATGAAATGGAATGCATAAACATCAATATCCTAGGCATTACTGAGCTGAAATGGACTGGTATTGGCCATTTTGAATCAGACAATCATATGGTCTACTATGCCGGGAATGACAACTTGAAGAAGAATGGCGCTGCATTCATCCTCAAAAAGAACATTTCAAGATCTATCCTGAAGTACAACACTGTCAGTGATAGGATAATAGTCATACGCCTACAAGGAAGACCAGTTAATATGACTATTATTCAAATTTACGAAAACCACTAAGGCCAAAGATGAAGAAACTGAAGATTTTTACCAGCTTCTGCAGTCTGAAACTGATTGAACATGCAATCAGGATGCATTCATATTTACTGGTGATTGGAATGAGAAAGTTGGAAATGAAGAAGGATCAGTAGTTGGAAAATACTGCCTTGGTGATAAAAACGATGCCGGAGATAGCATGATAGAATTTTGCAAGACTAATAACTTCTTCATTGCAAATACTTTTTTCACCAACATAAACCGTGACTATACACATGGACCTCGCCAGACGGAATACACAGGAATTAAATCGACTACATCTGTAGAAAGAGATGATGGAAAAGCTCAATATCATCAGTCAGAACAAGGCTAGGGGCCAACTGTGGAACAGACCATCAATTGCTCATATGCAAGTTCAAGTTGAAACTGAAGAAAATTAGAACAGGTCCACAAGAGCCAAAGTTCGACCCTTAAGTATATCCCATCTGAATTTAGAGACTATCTCAAGAATAGATTTGACATGCTGAGCACTAACGACCAAAGACCAGACAAGCTGTGGAATGACATCAAGGACATCATACATGAAGAAAGTAAGAGGTCATTAAAAAGACACAAAAGAAACAAAGGACCAAAATGGATGTCAGAAGAGACTCTGAAACTTGCTCTTATAGCTAAAGCAAAAGGAAGAAATGATGAAGTAAAAGAACTGAACAGAAGATTTCAAAGGGCAGCTTGAGAAGACAAAGCAAAGTACTATAATGACATGTGCAAAGAGCTGGAGATAGAAAACCAAAGGGAAAGAACACGCTCGGCATTTCTCAAGCTGTAAGAACTGAATCAAAAATTCAAGACTTGAGTTGCAACAGGGAAGGATTCTATGGGCAAAAAACTGAATGACGCAGGAAGCATCAAAATAAGATGGAAGGAATACACAGAGTCATTATATCAAAAAGAACTGGTCAACGTTTAACCATTTCAAGAGGTAGCATACGATCAGGAACCAATGGTACTGAAGGAAGAAGTCCAAGCTGCACTGAAGGCATTGGCAAAAAACAAGGCTCCAGGAATTGACAGAATACCAACTGAGATGTTTCAACGAACAGATGCAGCACTGGAAGTGCTCACTTGTCTATGCCAAGAAATTTGGAAGACAGCTACCTGGCCCACTGGCTAGAAGAGATCTATATTTATGCCTATTCCCAAGAAAGGTGATCCAACAGAATGCAGAAATTATCAAACAATATCATTAATATCACACACAAGTAAAATTTTGCTGAAGACCATTCAAAAGCAGCTGCAGCAGTATATCAACAGGGAACTGCCAGAAACTCAGACTGGATTCAGAAGAGGACATGGAACAGGGATATCATTGCTGATGTCAGATGGATTCTGGCTGAAAGCAGAGAATACCAGAAAGATGTTTACCTGTGTTTTGTTGACTATGCAAACGCATCCGACAGTGTGGATCATAATAAATTATGGATAACATTGTGAAGAATGGGAATTCCAGAACACTTGAACTCATGAGGAGCCTGTACATAGATCAAGAGGCAGTTGTTTGGACAGAACAAGGGGATATTGGGTGGTTTAAAATCAGGAAAGGAGTGCATGAGGGTTGTATCCTTTCACCATTCTTAGTCAATCTGTATGCTGAGCAAATAATCCAAAAAGCTGGACTATATGAGGAAGAACCGGGCATTAGGATTGGAGAAAGACTCATTAACAACCTGTGTTATGCAAAGGACACAACCTTGCTTGCTGAAAGTGAAGAGGATTTGAAGCACTTACTGATGAAGACCAAAGACCACAGCCCTCAGTACGGATTACACCTTAACATAAAGAAAACAAAAATCCTCACAACTGGACCAATAAGCAACATCATGATAAACGGAGAAAAGATTGAAATTGTCAAGGATTTCATTTTACTTGGATTGACAATCAACATCCATGGAAGTAGCAGTCAAGAAATCAACAGACGCATTGCATTGGGCAAATCTGCTGCAAGAGACCTCTTTAAAGTGTTGAAACGCAAAGATGTCACCTTGAAGACTAAGGTGCGCTTGACTTGGAAGAAGTACAACCAGAATGCTCCTTAGAAGCAAGGATGGGGAGACTATGTCTTACGTACTTTGGAGATGTTGTCAGGAGGGATCAGTCCCTGGAGAAAGACATCGTGCTTGTTAAAGTAGAAGGTCAGCGAAAAAGAGGAAGACCCTCAGCTAGATAGACTGACACAGTGGCTGCAACAATGGGCTCAAGCATAACAATTGTGAGCATGATGCAGGACTGAGCACCGTTTCCTTCTGTAGTACACAGGGTCGCTATGAATTGGAACTGACTCGAGGGTACCTAACGACGACAACAACATGGTTTTTTGAATCACCATGAATCAAATTTAAGTTTCTCATGAAGGATTATAAAGTTCCAATTTCCTCATGAAATTCTTTTTATATATCAAGGGAGGCAGCCTGTAGCAGAAAGAGCAGTTGTTGGAAGGGAAGCAGGACACCTGGTCCCTGTCCTTGGAAAGTCACTTAGGGATAGAAGGGCAAATATGTGGCATGCATGCTGTCATCTTCCAATGCCTTTGCAAATTCTAATTTATCACAGCATTCTCTCCTGCTAAACCTAGACTGGACCTCGTAATAGTTTTGCACTAAACGTATCTAAATTGGTCTGTGAACTGAAATCTATTTGACATTCCTAAGACACAGTTATGCTTCTAAAGGCCCCTAGCTTTCTTTAAGTAATACTTCCTTTGTACACTGACTCTTCCCACCATCCACAGCCTAGAAAAATCTCTTTTTCCTCATTTAATTATGAAGCTTCCTTATTCTTCATTAAGCTCACCCAGTCCAATCTGAGTTAACA